CATCTATGAAGGAATGTGGGACAATGTCAAGGAAGCATGCCTAATCAGCAAAGGTGACACTAACCTTCTATGGCTTTGGCATAAGAGGTTGGGTCATCTCAACTTCAAAACCCTCAACAAACTATCAAAAGAAGGGTTAGTAGAAGGTCTTCCCAAAGCCGTGTACAAGAAGGAAAGCATTTGTGATGCTTGTCAGAAAGGAAATCAAGTCAAGTCCACTTTCAATGCAAAACCGGCTCACTCAACTACAAGGATACTAAGTCTTATTCACATGGACTTATTTGGACCTGTTACACCAATGAGTCTAAGTGGAAAGAAGTATGTCCTGGTAGTAGTTGATGGCTATTCAAGATACACGTGGACAATCTTCCTCAACAGCAAGAAGGAAACTCAGGGAAAGCTCACAAACTGCATGAAGCTGATTCAAAACCAAGCAAGTCAGACCATTCAGAAGATCAGATCTGACAAAGGAACAGAATTCCTGAATGGGATTATCATCCATTACTGTGAAGAAAAGGGAATTCTTCATCAGACATCCGCGGCAAGGACACCTCAGTAGAATGGTGTAGCTGAAAGAAGGAACAGAACCATGATAGCAGAAGCTTTCTTGCCAAAGAGGTTCTGGGTTGAAGCTATAAACATAGCTTGCTATACTCAAAATAAGAGCATGATTTATAAAAGGCACAACAAAACTCCCTATGAACTGTGGAATGGGAGAAAGCCTAATATATCGTATTTTCATATTTTTGGGAGCAAGTGTTTTGTGTTGAACAACGGGAAGAATCATCTGAGCACTTTTGATGAGAAATCAGATGAAGCCATCTTCCTTGGATATTCTATGGCGAGCAAGGCATTCAGAGTCTTCAACATAAGGACCATGATCACTGAAGAATCAATACATGTTATTTTTGATGAAAAACTTGTGGTTGACAAGCCATCAAAGCATGATCATGAGGTTCTGGATCTCTCAGACAAGGATGAAGAGATCAATGAAGGAGATAGAATGAAGCCTACGGAGTTCATTCCATTCGGAAGTCTACCACTGAAGAATTCACAAAGAAATCCGGACAGTGCTGAGCCTACCGGAAATCATGGCCAGCCTTCCAACATTCCGGATCACTCACATGGCGACCATTCCGGAAATGGCGATCAAGAGCCAATCCATCCGGAAACACCAACAAACTCTGTTCTTCAACCGGAAGCTGAACTAGATCAGCCAGTCAATCCTAATCAACACAATCTTCATTGGTTAAGGGATCATCCTCCTCAACAAGTCATTGGAGATATTCAATCAGACGTTCGCACAAAGAGTGCTCAACAGAATCTAGAAGCCATGCTTGCTTGTTTCATTTCACAAGTGGAACCAAAGAGCATTGTAGAAGCTCTAGCTGATTCTGATTGGATCAACGCAATGCAAGAAGAACTCAACCAATTCACCAAAAATGACGTCTGGAAACTTGTTCCCAGACCTACTCATCAACATGTCATTGGGACAAAGTGGGTCTTCCAGAACAAGATGGATGAAAATGGCGTTGTTGTCAGAAACAAAGCCTGGTTGGTTGCCAAAGGTTATTGTCAAGAAGAAGGTATAGATTTTTGATGAAACCTTCGCTCCAGTTGCTAGACTTGAAGCTATAAGGCTGTTTCTAGCCTTTGCTACTCATACGGACTTCAAAGTCTATCAAATGGATGTCAAAAGCGCATTTCTCAACGAAAACCTAGAGGAAGAAGTTTATGTGGAACAACCTCCAAGATTTGAGTTACACATTAAAGGCGATTAAGTGTATAGACTCAAAAAGGTGTTGTATGGACTCAAACAAGCACCAAGAGCTTGGTATGATACATTGTCTAAATTTCTGATAGACAATGGATTCATCAAAGGAGTCATTGACAAGACCTTGTTCAAACTTCAAGATGGAGAAGATCTCCTTTTGGTCCAAATCTATGTGGACGACATCATATTTGGCTCAACTAAGGAAGCTCTTTGCACCAAGTTCTCCACCCTCATGCAAGGAAAATTTGAGATGAGCATGATGGGGGAACTCAACTACTTCCTTGGTCTTCAAATCAAGTAGAGAAGTGAACGGACTCTCATAAATCAAGCCAAGTACACAAGGGATATTATCAAGAAATTCAAAGTTGATCAGAAGTCATCCGTTTCTGTCCCCATGAGTACATCCACCAAGCTTGACATGGATGTAGATGGAAAGGATGTTGATCAAACTCTCTACAGAGGAATAGTTGGATCTCTACTCTACCTTACTGCAAGCCACCCGGATATCTCATATGCAGTAGGTGTTTGTGCTAGATTCCAGTCAAAGCCAAAGGAAAGTCATTTAATTGCAGCCAAAAAGATTCTTAGATACCTCAAAGGAACTCAGAATATGGGTTTATGGTATGCTAAGAGCAGCTCATTTGAGTTAGTGGGATACTCAGATTCTGACTTTGCTGGATGCAAAGTTGATCGGAAGAGCACATCTGGCACTTATCAATTCATTGGCGGAAATCTTGTTTCTTGGTTCAGTAAGAAACAAAACTCCATCTCTACATCAACAGCAGAAGTAGAGTATATTTCTGCTGGTAGTTGTTGTGCTCAAATATTGTGGTTAAAGCAACAACTACTGGATTATGGAGTCAAAACAAAGGAAGTGACAATATTTTGTGACAATCAAAGTGCTATAGCCATCTCACAAAATCCAGTGCATCACTCTCGCACTAAGCACATTGATGTCAAGCATCACTTCATCAGAGATCATGTGGAAAAGAAGGATATCAAAATTGAGTACATCTCAACTGAAGAACAACTGGCGGATATCTTCACAAAACCACTAAGGCTCCGTTTGGTACATGGAATTCAAACTATGGAATTGGAATTGAGAACTTCAATTCCAATTCTATTGTTTGGTAGCACAAACATTATGTAGATTTGGAATTGATAGTGCAAAAAATGAATTGAAATTGACAGAATTCAATTCTATGGAATTGAATCCCATGGCATTACAATTCCAATTCAGTTCCAATTCCACCAATTCCATATACCAAACGGACCCTAAGTGAAGCCAAGTTTTCCGATTTACTACACAAAATTGGTCTAATTCAATTAGACTGAGTGCGGTACACGTGGCAGTCCACTCAGCACGTGTGATAAAGTAATGGGTAGGCGCGTGGCCTTGGAAACAGTTGAAAACCAAATCGCCACTAGCCGCATAAATCGCCCAAAATTAAACCCAATCGCCACTATATTCAGACCTCAACTGTCCACTCAGCCCACTCAAATTTTCGTCGTCTCCCTCGAAAGAATTCTCAAGAACCCTAATTTCTTCAAATTGTTTCACCCAAAATTCAGCGAAAATGAAGATTGTTTGAGCTAATGTTCATTTCCAGAAATTAGAAGCCAAATGTTCTTCACCGGCGTTCTATCAAACTTATTTGGAGATGATTGCTGCACAGGAACTCTCCGAATTCATTCATCTGAAAATCGGCTTCATGTATGAAGACAAAGTTCTTGAATTTTACAAGAATGGGAAGATCTCAACGATTCAATCCAAGAAGAACTCACAGAGGACAATTCAAGTAATTAAGTCCACTGTTGGAGGCACCAAGGTGAAGATTTCTCAGAAGAAATTGATGAAAAAGCTCCATCTTCCCAATTCTAGAATTGAAATTGGGAGGCTCCCGTCCAAGAATCTGGACTGGAAAACTATTGGAATTTCTGGACAAATCCCCTCTGGCCCAGCAAAGAAGGCCGACTTGAAGAATGACTATAAATTGGTCCTAGAGCTAGTCATTACATACCTAGAATGTGGGAGTGGAGGACATGCAGATGACATAACTCAAGAAAGAGCATTCATCATCAACGCCCTTATCACTAGAACCAAGGTGAATTGGGCTAAACACTTTTTCAACTGTGTTTCAAAGCACTTAGAAAAGCCCAAGCAGAAATATCTCTGTGAAGGACTGTACGTTGGGTACATTTTGGAATCCTTGGGTGTTGCTTCTGAAGGCAAGAAGTATGATGCCAGATATTGGCTCTACTATCTTTCATCCAAAGGAGAAATCAGAACAAGCCCTACTGCAGAAGATGAAGGCTCTTCCGACAATGTCCTAATTGTGAGTCTGAAGAAGTCCTCAAAAAGGAAGCGAGTGGTTTCTCCCTCTCCTAGTCATGAAGAACCACACACTCTTGCCCTGGTTAATTTGGATGAAGAAGAAGAAGTTTCTGCCCAGGGAGAACTTCAGAAGAAGAAGAAAAGAAGAATCTCCTCTCCCTCTACATCTGCAAATGCAAATCCGGATGACTTGGTGGAAAAGGAATCACTTGAGAAAGCCTCTGCACACAACTAGAGTCCTCAACAACTTGATGAAGATGAAGAAATCCCTCAAGACCGGAGTTTTCCATCTCCTCCATCACAAGCTCAAACTGATGATGAAGTGAGCAAATTCATGCAGCTTTACTATGATTGGAGAGCTTGGAAAGTTGGAAACTCTGCAGATCAGTTGGTTGAATGGGATCAACAACTTAAAAATGAAAGGATTATCAAGAGGTGTTTGGGACAGCTAGTCAACTATTTTTGTGAGCAGATTCTGGATGAGGAATGGGTCTGGTAGAAAACCTATGAAGATCTGCATCTGGAATACTTGGCCACCTCTCCAACTTCAGAGTTTGAAGCTAGTGATGAGGACCCGGCTGCCTACAAACCAATCCTACCAAAGCCAACTGAAGATCAGACTGCGCTCACTACTGAAGCACAGGCTGACAGGGAAGCTGAAGATTTCCAAATTTTTCTGGAAATCTCACCTACTTTTGACACTGTTCTGTCGAAGATGTCCAGGAGAATGCAGCTACTCCCCAGCAAGAACAGATTCAAACAGCATCTGAAGAAAAGCTTCTACAATCCCTCCAATTTCAAGTCCAAGAGATCCTCACAACAACTTGTGAGATCTCCAGTCAGACTGGACCTGAAATTCCGGAGAAATTATTAGAAGATCTGGAGAAGTCCACTCCTCTAAAAACTACAGCAAATGTAGCTCAAGAAAAACCAGTCGTTGATGTCCAAAGAAGCTTTGAAGAAGCTGAAAGAGAAGCTCAAATAGCTAGGCTGGAGGTCTCTGAAACTCCAGTGGCTATCTTTGAGCAGCCAATTGAAGATGAAGTCAGAGATTCCCTCTCTAGGGATATCTCAAATTATGGAAATAAAGAAACAGAGGAAGAGTCAGTGAAGACCCTGAAGATTAATGAAGAAGAAGCTGAGCAAGGAGATGATGTTGAATCTCTCTCTCTCTCTGCAACTCTTCCATAAAGCACCTTCTTCAAATCAGGTAACAAACTTTCACTTTCACAGCTCTTCAGCAACCACACCTCCGGATGAGATACCGGAAGCCTGGATAAGGAAGGTCCAAGGGTTGAATGAGTCAGCCCTGAAGTCTCAACATGCCTCTTTTACGCAAGAGATAGAGCAGATGGAAACAACGCACAACCAATTGATGGAAAAATCTGAAGAAAAGTATTGCTCAAATCTCTACGAGATAAGCAAATCTGTAGACAAAACTCTAGAGATCATTTCTCTATTGAGTAAGTCTGTGAGCAATACATTGATGGTTTATGCATCTGACTGCCACCTTCAATTCAAAGAAGCATCTACAATCAAGTAGCAGATTGCCACAGTCAAAGTCAATCTTCAGAAGCAGATGTCACTCCTTGAGATGGATAACAGATCAGCCTTGGCAGTGTCATCAGCAAACCAGATGGTAACTCTAGATTACATAAAGGTTCTTGCTAACAATCAAAAAGAAGCTTTCAGGCTCTTCAGACACTTTGGCACTTCACTGGGAAACACAAGCTGGAAGTGATTGTTGAACCCAGAAGTCCATCTCAAATTCCAAAGTTTCCGATTGAAGTTAAACAAAGAGAACTCTCATACATTCCATCACATCTGAACATGACGGAGCTGATACTTGAAGCCCAGCAGAGCAATCTGGAGAACTCAATCTAGCATCTGTCAAACACTATGTTTGATGGAACAAAAGCTGTAGGAAGCATTGCCTCCCACTTCACAAATGAGGCCGAGACAGAAGAGAGATATAACAACCTCAAACGCATCCAAGAAGAGTGTGGAGTTATGCAAGGCATTGGTGAAGTTGCCGGATCATCCAAGCGCAAGAAGAAGTGAAGGCTTTTTTCATCCTGTAACGCCCCGAAAATAGGCCTATCAGAATTAATTAATTGATAATTAATTAATTACTGAGAAGGACCCAAAAATAAGTAAATTCTAAAGTTTGTCAATAAATAATGAAAATTATATCATTATGTAGAGTTTGACTGTCTGACCCCAACGGTTCAATCGGATTTCAATTTGGAGAAAGTTGGAGTAAAAAGTGTACCCCAACTGGGACCAAAATTAGTCCCAATCAGGGACTACACACCAAACGGCGCCCTGTTCAATTACGCCGATTCCAAATTCGTCGCTCAATCACGGAAGCTGCAAACCTGTGTCTTCTTCTTCTTCTTCCCTGGGCTATTTAAGGACAACCCAACTCCCTCATTTCATCACCAAAACAACTCATTCTTCCTTCTATATTGTTCCTTGCTGAGAGTAGAGTGCAGTGGTGCTGTCATCTTTGTGTGAGGTCGCCGGAGCAGTGAGATAGAGTCAACGGAAGTTTTGCCAAAAAATCTTCAAAACCTCCCTTACGCTTCAAGGTAAGACCGTAGGTATATCTAATGACTAGAATGTTCATATAGGTCGTTTCTACATTCATAAATGGTCATTTGGTTGAGTTTTGTGTTTGACATGTTTGAAGAACCAATAATCATAAACCTTGAATTTGATGTTAAAAATATGTTTTAATAATTCTAATATGATCTATGAACCTTGGAGAACATCTCTATATAGTTTAATTCAAGTTCGGTAACTAAAAATGGTTTTCCCAAAAAATGGACCGAGGTTGAAGACGAATGAACAGTGGCTGAAAATCCACAGAGTGGATCGATCCCCTTCATTGGATCGATCCTCTGGGAGTTTTTCTTCTAATTGGATCGATCCAGAGGGCTGGATCGATCCTCCGAAACTCTGGTCCGAAAATTTGTCTGAAATTGCTATTTTTGAGCTCTAAAATCCTATTATTGATACCAATTGATTATGATTATTATAAAAATGATTTTTCACAACAAAAATGATGTTTTTAACAAATTAAAACATTATGTGATGCATGACGGTCAGTTCGGGTGTTAACAGTCAAGACTAGACCGCTAATTGTTATTAAATGTTATGTTGAATGATCATTATGATGAACTATTAATGTGGCCAATTATGAATGATTAACCTACTGATTAGTATGATTATTGATTAAATCATGATTAAAAATGGATATAATGATGATTATGAAAATGATGTATATTGTTAAGGATATGTAGAAGAACTCTAAGATATACCCACTTGTATAATGATGATGATTATTAAGGATATCTAGAAGAACTCTAAGATATACCTCCTTGACCAATTCATATTCCGGGGTTAAAACGTACGTACGGGATCCAGAACGGATATCACCCACCCGGCAGTTCACTGTTCAGTTGGTACGTAATCCACATGACTCATAGGGTGGATTATCGATTCTTGTGTTCTTCATTAAACTATTTATAGTTTAAGGGCCTGGTTAAAAATGTTGCCTTAGACTATGAATAGTTAAGAGTTGTTATGAAATGATTTGGCCTTAGATTAAGAATAATTTGAGAGCATTGTTGAGATATTGAATATCAATTGACTTGGAACAAAATATTGAGAATATCATGAATGTTTGAATTATATATTGTGTGCATGATATCAAATGGTTGATTATGAATCGAGATTCAATATATGTGGATGTTCGACGCTTTAGATATGCTTACTCAGCTTCACCGTTGAGCGTGTAGTGTGTTGTATTTGCTACACGCAGGTAGTCAGAATGAATGATTGGCTGATTCCTGGCAGCAGAAGGGCGAGACAGTCGTGGTAGATTATTCAATGAAATAAATAATTATGTTGTTATGAGACATATTTTAAAGTCGCTTCCGCATTTTATTTAAACACTCCGTATTTCTCTACAATTATGTATGGAATATTATTTATAAATAAAAATGTTTGAAATGTTTTAAATTATCACGATTACCAAATCAATACCTTAGTCCGAAAGGGGCTGCAGACCTGGACGGATTAGGGTGTTACAATTTGGTATCGGAGCCAATGGTTTTAAACCCGATCTTCGGATCAAAACTTGGATATAAAAAAAATCTTTTACATATTATATATGTATTTCGGCCTAAAAAAATGATGTCAATCAAATCCACGACTCTCGCATCCCTCTGCTCCAGGAAGGTAATAAAAAAAATTGAGTATTGAAATTGACTTTATCAAATTTTATAGATGTCAACTGTTAATTCGGAAATGATATCAAGTGTTGATTCAAGTCGCACTTTCGTACTTGGTAAAAGACAAAAGAACAAACAAAATGTCTATGACTCGTTGATACGTTACCAACGTGCACATCGATTCGCAAGAATAATGAAATGAAGGATTTATCTGCGCCGCAAGGCTGCATGGGAACGCGATGACCTAGAAGAGACGTTCAGCATAGACTCTGCCAGTAGCGTATGTGGGTCGGGCAAGGAAGACTCGTATTTAGATTCGTCACGATCTAACCAATCGTACGCAAACGCTTAGAAAATTATCTTATTGTTAGTTTCAAATCCATTGATTGTATCAACTGTTGTAATTCTTTTGCAATTCCTGTCTTAAACTCAACTACTGAATAAAAGAATCCTAATAAAGGAATTTCTGTTATTGTAGAATGAGTCAAGAATCTGCCCACGGACAAGGCAACAATAATGAACACGTCAGTGTTCATACGGAAGCATCTAGCTTTACCCCTCCCGTCCAAAATGAACCCGTCAATCAACAAAATGTTGGGAATAACCCGAACGCTGATGGTCAACCCGACCTTGTGATTCCCACATTCCTGGCAAATGTATTACAACAGATAGCCAACGCACCAATGTTTCAACAACCTCCACCACCGCCACCGCAAGTGATAACCTACAAAACATTAAGGGATAACGGTGCAGAATTATTCCTTGGGGATCGTATCGGTGAACCCCAAATTGCATGGGACTGGATCGAGCAGACTGCTCGAGTGTTGGAGGATCTTAACGTACCCATTGGCAACTATCCCCAACTGGCGTCTCAGCTCCTTCACAAGGAAGCCTACGAGTGGTGGAAGAGGACCGATGAGAGTGCAGGAACCCCTAAGCCATGGACATGGGCACATTTCGAATGGGCATTCAAGCAAGAATATATTCCAAAACATTTTAGCGAAGAAAGACGTAAAGAATTTGTCGAATTGCAACAGGGAGACATGACACTCCCCGACTATCGTCAGAAGTTTACCAGTCTTGCTAAGTTTGCACCAACCTTGGTGAGTACCCCAACCGATCGCATCGAGAAGTTCAGGAAGAAACTTCAACCTGACCTCAGGTCGCGTGTGTCCGTCCTAACCACCGTGGATTTCGCGGAGGCCTACGATCTCATAGCCAGGGCAGACAGCGACTTGAGTGCTTGCATTGAGTATCTGAAGACAAATAATGTCAGTTCAAGCACTCACCGTCCCATCAGCTCTGTCTCAAAAGGAAAAAGGCCGTTCCAGGAATCTAGCAATTCACACATCTCAAAGAAGGGGAAATTAGTGCAGACGCACTCTGTGGCGTCAGAGAACAAATCAAGAGGGTGGAAACACCCCTTGTGCGATGCATGTGGGAGACATCATCCAGGCGATTGTTGGCTTGCCCAAGGATTATGTCTAGGTTGTGGCAAACCTGTGTTAGAATAAAAGACCAACGCTAGAGGGGGGTGAATAGCGTTTGATCGGAGAAATCGCAGGAATTAAAAACTTAAAAGAGAAGTAAGGGAAGAGTATGAGGCACATCGAATTTTACCCTAGTTCACCACAACTTGTGGCTAATCCAGCCTCCCGAGAGACTCTCTCGAGCTACACTACTAACTCTTTAAGCTTACGGGTGCTTAACAAACCGTTACAACTTGAGAGTTCGAGTCACACGAACCTCAACGAATCCTTCAAAGGAAACAGATCTTCCTTTGAATCAACCGAGAGAGATACAATCTCACTTATAGAGTAGATTATGAGTAAACTAAGTACGCTCAAGAACAACTCAACCTTCACACAAGTGGCTCTAGAAAGCTATGGAAAATGATGGTTTTTGAATGCAATGAAAGTATAGATGTTGTGAAGTGAATTGTTGAGAAAAGCAGACCCAAACACCCCCTTTTTATAGTGCCAAAGAAGGCTCCAACGGACCAATGCATTAAAGGGGTGATTGGCTTGATTTATGGGATTGAAAAGATTTGGGATCTGCAGGATATTGGCTTCCCATCGATGTTTGGAACTTAGCCATCGCTCGTAAGCCAATTTTTCTTCTGTTTTGAAGTCAACGGTCACCTACCCATCGATGGGTACAAGCTTCCCATCGCTGGGTGGGAGGTTGACTTCCAAACAAGGAAAGAATCAACCTTTAATGACCACCAACGGTCATGCCTTCCCATCGATGGTATACCCTTAGCATCGCTGGGTTCCCATCGATGGGATAGGCTTCCCATTGCCTGGCAAGGTCGTTCTGCCTTATGGTAATTTTGCACCAAGGCTCTAACAGCGATGGGTGGAACTCCCCATCGCTGTTTGGCATGGTTCTGGAAACTGGTTTGGCTGAGGGGCCGCTTACCCATCGATGGGAAGATCTTCCCATCGCTGGGTGAGTGGTTAGTCAAGAACCCATGGTTTTTGCCTTAACCACGGCCTAGCCAACCGATGCGAAACCCGACCGAAAAATTCAAAGTTCTCCAAAATAAAAACCAAGTGTTTAAAACACTTATTTGATGTATTTGGCTAATAAATCGAGTAAGACACTTTAAAAACCACGTCATTTAAGTGAAAACCACGGCTAGCCAAGATTTATGCCGTTTTGAATGATTTTTGTCAAACGACCAAAAGCGAAAGATG